AAATATAAAGCTGGTATATCAATACCATCAGCCCCTATATTTCTATTGCCAAATACTTCATGCTGATTGGTTTATAATTGTCACATGCAGCTTGGGTGTGTACCTCCCTTGTGTAAGTCTAGTATTCGATGGTTTCTAACTTGTCCTTTCCGATAAAAATCAAAGAAAGAAATCGAGTAAAAATAAAAATGCAATTAGGAATCTGTCAAAGGCAGGCTGGCATGTATAAGATGAATAATCAATACGTGGTGTCTGTACAGGAACTACTTTTCAATATTTCCATGTTCTCATTGCACCTTGCATAAAGTGGATTTTCTTGCATCATCACCTTTTATTTCATTTATTCCTTTATAAGAAAGCAATTTCTATTTTATTTCTCCTTTGATAAGAAATAGAACAGTATTTTCAAGTGAGATTAGATATTTTACAGCCTCATTTTTTACTTCATATTTGTTTATTTTAATTTACAAGTTAGATTTTCAAAACATTTTATGAAGGCTGTTGAGATATTTTCTCTGTTTTATTGCTATTTTTATGAAGTGTACTTCCTTAGTATTATCACCATGTTTTTATATGTTTTGAGTTAATGGGTTTACATCAAACACATATTTCTAAAAAGTGATACAGTGAAACAGTTCTGGTATGGTTTCAAGAAATTAAAATGAGTGTTCAAGAGTTCAGGGATCTCCCCTGCATTAAAGCAAGTGGGTGCTGCACCCACTTGAGATTTTAAAAATAGGCTTGCACCCACCCACCCATTTGCACCCACTTGAAAATTTGTTCTAAATTGTGAAATCAAGAATTTTGCACCCACTTAAGAAATAATTCTGGAGAGAACATTTTGCTTTTTAAGAGAGAGCTTGTGTTTAGGCTCTGGGCTTTAGGGTAAAAATTCATATTAGAGAAATGGAATATAGTTGTGTTATTGCACAATCACTGAGTTTTAATGCATTACCAGGCCATAATGTAATACTCCCTGCATTACACTTAATAGTATCCCATCTGAGAAACCATGACGTCTCATTTTTTCTCAGTCATGAGTTGATCACGTTTCTAAGAGAAAGATGTGTCGAATATCAGAATACTAATAACCCTTCTTTGAGAACAAAGAGTGTAATCTTACACATTCAACAGGTTAATTTCACAATATTATAAAATGTAATTGTCATGGTTATAATAAATGGTCTGGTCTTGTAGTATTGCACTTTTTAATAGTTTTTATAAATTTAAGCAACCCAAAAAAAATAAATGATAGTAAAACATTTATAAATCAATTGTTTTGTTATAAATAATTAAATTAAAAATTGAAAGTTATTATTGCATATTATGGTGATCTATATTTTGTTAGGTTTGATACAAATATAAGCGATATAAATGTTCAGGCGATTTCTGAATCTTTGATAAAATATTGGCCAAATAGGTTCCAGATTTATTGAATCATAAACTTCATTGATCTGATTTCTTCCAGGAAGCATCGTCTTTTATAGTCTATTCTAGAGACTTCTGAGTTCCATAGTAAGGCTTAAGACTACCTGAGAGCCTCTAGGGTAGACTAAATACCTTGGGCAGGGATTAATATTCCTCTCTGAAGAGTTGGCATGGTGATAAGCCACAACTTTAACATATGGCCCTTCATCATGTCTTTAATAGTCAAAATTACTGATCCTAGATGTGGCCTATCTTGTGAGATATATCGTCCCCTCTATGTTGCTTAATTATGTGTGTAATCATGACTCTATTTATGCAGGTTTTTTATCGATGACATCGTTAGATGATCGCTAAAATTACAATTCTCCTCCATCATGAAACCACTGATTACTAATAACCTGAACCCAGGTTTATTAGTTTTTTACCACTTCAATCCCTGGCCTAAAAGTAAAATTTCACGATCACAAAATTCAGAAATTTAGTGAAAAGAGTACAATATTCATTAATGTTAATAAATTATATAGCCACGACATGAAGCATAAAATATTAAAAATGTGGTGAATTAGAGTTTCCTATGAAATGAGAGAGATAAGATATGGATTTAGCGTGTGATAGTTTGAACACAGGGTTTATTCTGTTAGGTTTATTATTTCACATAATGTCCATTCTCTGGGTTAAGGTAGGCAGGTCACAAGTTTTGCAAATGACAACACAATGCACGTCTTTGTATAAAAAATTGTAGGAGCTGGAATCCTTTCTCTACCTTAATATGAAATATATTATTGATTTTTAAAGACTTTATGTAACTTCTTTTGACTCCCTCCTTCTTCTGCGCCCCCCCCCCCCCTCCCCCTGAAATATAATGTTTTTAAAGACTTTCTGTAATTTCTTTTGACCCCCTCCTTCTTCTGACCCCCTCCCCCCCCTCTTGTAAGCCATACAGTACAGAGATTTGATCCAAATATACTATTGCATACTTTTGTACAAAACCTATATATAATAGAAAATTTCAAGCACAAGACATATTCAGAAAGAAAAGTTTTTTTAAGTTACAATTTTATGAAATCAGAATATTGCTCTAATGTGGGGGGTGTTCAATAAGTAATGCATTGTAATATTTATCAATAACCATGAGTATCTTTTCCTCTTGTATCCCAGGAGATGTACCTGAGGAAAGATTTAACGAAGCTTATGAATTATTTCATCATTAACCTAGAAGATAAGGTTCTTAAAAGTATGGTTTACAATTACTGGCAAATCACATTGATCAGTCTTCAGATGTCATAATCATGTCCTGAATCTTACGCTTGGAAATTCATTGTATTGGAATGGATTGAATTGTTCTATGCAAGAGGACTATATAAGAAAGAAAAATTTAATGATATTGTAGGCCTGCTTTCATAAAATGTGTTGTGAACTTGAAGAACCATTTCAAAATGTGATTTATTTTTGATTTATTTATGGCTATGGATGATCGAGTTTTCTCCTTAGATGTACAATTCTTTAGTTATTGTTATGCATGGATAGTATATTTAGGAATTGAAAGTAGTCATAGATTTACCCCCTCCCCCACCTTTACCACCATATAACACAATTTTGTTTATCCATTCACTTTAAAATCAACATTATGGTTCATGAAATCTCTCATTTGCCATCGCCCCCTGATAAAATCACCTTTATTCTTCCGCAACTGAAAATGGGACATCATCCTAGTAGTAACAATATCAACACATATGTTTTCTAAAGTTTTAGAGCGCAATATCATCATAATTACTAATGCTGAGACCGATACATTATTTCTAATACAATTACTATTGACAAAATCAATGAAGATAAATGTATTCAATTATTTAAGATTAAAGTTTCTATCCTATAAATCCTGGGTTGTTGACAGGCGTTCTTCAAGCATGCATTCTTCATACTGCACGCATGATTGGGCTCGGAGAAAGAACATTATATTGTCTAACAGAAAGTGTAAATAATCCTCCTACTACTACAGGGGAATATTCTGTATTTGCCACTTAAGGTCTTTGCTATGAATTATCAAAGGAGAACATTATTGGTTGTGAAAGGAGACAAATACTCTTTGTAATGATATATGAAATTCAATATTGTGCAAAATCGAGTAAATTACAGAAGGTACAGTTATGATGAATATACATGTAGATTACAGATTAGGATAGCTCTTATCTGGATTCATAATTATTAATTTATACTTGGTCTTAATATGCAGCTTTTCCTTATACTAATGTGCAGATACTTTTGGTTGAAATATGCAGCTATTCTTGCTTCGCATATGCAGTTAAGGTTTATTCAACACAAAAGCAAAACTTTTTTATGCTTCAATTTGTTAATTGTCATTTGCCTTAAATTAACTCTTATATTAGACTATGAATAATTTACAAAGGGATTTAAAACACATTGTAATCGAAGGTGGCTAATTAATAACATGAGGAATCTGGACATCATTAATCCGTTAAAGAGGTTTCTAAGCTCTTTCTCAAAGCATGTATCCTTATTCCATAGTTCTTTGAGATTCAGCTTCAATCTTGATTAATTTGATTGGTCTTCGTCTTCGATGATCAGGAGTTGTGGTATCAGCAGCATCCTCTCTTTGTAGTGAGAGTATGAATTACAGATTTTTATGGGAGTTTTGAGTAATAATGAACCATCTTTTGTCTTAATTTGAAATGTTTAAGAAGAACATAATATTCTACTTATATTTCTCCATTTTTGATCAATATATACAAAGCTGCGATGATATCCCAAGAGCCTTGATCAATGTGGCGCCTCAATATATTTGAACCAAGTAATTTCCATACGTCTGCATAGTTGCACGTATAATTGCTGAGTAGACGATTCTGGTCAATACTTAAGCGTTGATAGAATCTTGGTTTACATGAGACAAATTTGCTCTCAAAACAAATCCTACACTTTGTTTAAAAGCGTATTAATGGCTGCATTGAACCAGTATACTTAGCGCCATTGATAGATCATGCATTGTGCATACTAAATAGTTAGCCAATCCAGATTACTGTTCAGTTAACAATTCAGTTGTCAGCGAATTGGTTTCCATGAATAAACTGTATCAACTGCTTAAAGGGGATATATCCCGGGGGGCTTCTTCGACAATAGGCGGATTCACAGAATCTTTGACTTCAGCCACGTCATTGGGAGACCCCTTAGTCTCATTATATCTGATTTTTCAGTTTAGAATACATTTAATTGTATTTTCTATGGGAATTTCATATGATAGTGTATATTTTGATTTTTCCAGTATTAATCTATCATTGAGTGATTTATGATTGAAATCAGGTAATTAAGGATTAGGCGCACTTATATGGTCTTATTATGTCACTACCATATGTGGCGTTGATATATTGTTATGGTTTCAAACTTTTTGTGGATGGTATTTGGTAGTTGGTGTTTGGCAGTCAGCGTTCAGCATCTGTAACAACTGGCAGGTGTGTGACATTTTTGCATGTTAATGTCTTGTTTGTGATGGAATAGTGGTTGTATTTTGTAAAATATATTAAAATATTTTAATGAAATATTTGTTTGTGTGTTTGCAGTGGCTCACAAGGGAGATCTACTGGAGAAGTCTGGCCTGGACGTGCAGGAGACCGGACTGGGGCAGAAAGAGGTAAACTTCTTCAATTAACTTAAAATTAACAAAGATATCGTTCAGTTAAGTTTAATTACTGTTCTCCTTTCAAATAGAATATTTTTCAGAATTTAGAATTGAAAAAATAGAAAATTAAACTTAAGATTCAAACTCCAACCAATTGATAGTTTTGATAAATTGCATTCTGTATTATATCCTTTCTCTGCATAATGCATGTACCTTTATGTACAAAACATTTATATGCAAACTGTTATTATTTGACAATTGTAATTTTATACTAAGAAGAACAGAGAAATATGCACACATTCCAGTTTTCTGATGAAAAAAAATTTGTGCAGAATTTAACGATTGACTCATCTATTCACTAAATGCAAAAAAAATTCATGTATGTTATCCACAAAGTTTGCATATTCTGTAAAAATGAATGCATAATGACCAAGAAAAAGTGTTCATTGAGTGTTGTTTGGATAAGAGGTGCTCGAATATACATTTTGTTCTTGCAGGTTAGAACAATTACATTTGAACACATTATACCATATAAATATTGCTTTCAGAAGGAAAATGATTCATAAATAACTTAGTCTATGTATAGACATTGACTGGCCTATCATTATTCAACAGAATATTTTGTAAAGACCTGCTAGAAGTAAAAAATTACTGTTTGCTATTAATTTATCTTGATTATAGTCTGACTACCTGGTGAAACAATTTCCGACCTCTCTCTCTCGTCATCAACATATCTAATAACAATTGATGCATTCTAGCTTGTTAGGAATGGTGTCTAAATGTGGACGGTTGCGGAAAACAAAGTCAATTTTATTCTGGTTTAATCGCCATAAAATGGATTGGAAAGTTTTGCAAGTTTGTGTGTTGTATATCTCCTGAAAGCTCTCATTTTAAATAAAAAAATGTTCACTCTAATGTCCTGGTTATTCATCCATGTAAATGTTTGCATGATACAATGGGCGTAGCCAGGGGGATATTTGAAACGAACCCTTGTACCCCCCCCCCCCTTTTGGGGCTTGCTTCGCTTGCAGTGATGCCGACCCAAGAATTCGTACCCCCCTTGACATTTGCTGGCTATGCCTCTGATGAATATATAACACTGACAGATTTGTGTTAATGACACATGCACCTTGCTGTTCTCGTTTCATTCACAATTCTAGCCACATTTTATCGCCAGAAATAAAATTAATGAATAAAGCGATCGTAAAGTTTCCGTCGTCATAAATCCTGAAATAAAGCTATAAATCCATCGTGCGGGCATTTATTAGGGAGCAAATATACATGTACAAGCTCTGCACTATGACTCTTGCGCTAGAATCAGAATATGAATTACAGCGTTATTTCTTGAAAATCTTCGCTAATTCTTCCTTCATCTTTGCAATATCGATGGCTTTGTAGTGAAACCACATTCCAGGTCAAATTTAGATCTGGGCAATTTTCTCCGGCAATTTATTGATTTTCAATTTTGTTTTGCATTAAAAGCTTCGGGAGTTCGTCTTGCATTATACTGTGATAATCTTAGAGTCTTACAATGATAATACTAATTGAACTGTAATAATGTAGATGCGTGATAACTGTATATTTCGTGCAATGTAAATCAACTATCTCCTTAATCTTTGCTTTAGAAATTAGACTTAGAAATATTCTTTTGCTGAACCATCCTGATTAATGAAACTAAGAAAGTAGAGAATTATTAATTTCATTTTGCTTATTATATTACTTTAACTAAAGTTAACGACCATAAACAGTTTGGGTTGATCTGCTGTTTTCAATCTACCTTTAAGAACCAGAGTCCAGTAGTAATTCCTGTGAAGAGGAAGTTCTCTTTTTAAAGAGGTGAAATAAAACTGTTGAAAAGGTTATCTTTTACCTTGATAGTGTATAAAATTGACTGAAATGCATCGTTAAATGCTTATTTGAGTGCGATAGAGAACGAATATAGAGGAACACAAAATCTAATTGGTCTGAGAATTTACCATTTCGTATTCAGATAGCTCCTCTTAACATCTTTGCCCTCGTGTAAGCCAATTTTCCACCTGATAATGGCGGCCATCTAATTAAGAAAAATGTCAATGCAAACAAACATGGGCATGTATGTTAGCAATATATTTCACTAGGAGTAATTGGTCTCTCTCTCTTAGCATACTAATCACCCGCCTTGTTTCTTTTGTCTGTCCATTAGCTTACTGTCATCGGCATTTTAAGGCAAAGGGTTCCAATTTGAATCATTCTTGTGTTTATTTTCTGTTTCTTTTATGCCCTTTGTGTCCATTGTTTAATTATGTGTCTTTGTAGTATCTAAAAGAACTACTATGCTCAGGATTTTTACATCTCAACTAACCCAGAAATATTTCTTCATGAACGAATCAGTATAACATTATTCTTATTTGGTAATTGACATCCTAAAGATGCTCTATAATGGAGAAAAAATAAGATCGAGCGGTAAAATTACTTTGAAATTGGAATGCAACGCTGTCAAATAGAATTACATGTCATTGAAAATTGGAGATTAGCAATTATCACATAAATGTCATTTGTACCTTGCTCTGAATTCAGAATATTCTGATTTTCTCCATTGTGAATTTTACATAGGACACAAAAATGATAAAGCTAAAGGATATGAACAAAAGAACACTGGTGATCCACTCGATTACGCTGGTTACCGAAACAGTACGTTTTGGTAACAAAATGTCGGAACATCGAAGATACGATTTTTCTTTTTTCCTTATTTCACACGTTGTAGGCAGAATTACCACGACATTTTTAACAGAAACGTGTATCAGTATCATATTTTTAAGAAAATGTACATATTTGCAAACAAATAGTTCAGAAGACGACAGAATTGTCGATTTAATTCCTCACTTACATAAACGGTTTTTCGAAAAACAGTTAAGATCTGGACTTTTAACCCGATCCGTTTATGTAATTTAAGTGAGGAATTAATCAACGATTCTGTTGTCTTCTGAGCTATTTTTTCGCAAAAAATGTACATTTTCTAAAACATATAATACTGATATACGTTTGTGAGTAAAAACGTCGTGGGGATTCTGCCTACAACGCGTGAAATAAGAAAAAAAGAAAAATCGTACCTTCGACGTTCCGATATTTTGTTACCAAAACGAACCGTTTCGGTAACCAGCGTAATCGAGCGGATCAAAGGTGAAGAAGATAAATTCTTCGGAAAATATTTTGAAATGCTCCAGGCTGGTTTTCTTCAAGAGAAAAACTGTTCTTTAGTTTTACATTTATCTTAAGGCAGCTTCTAAAAGCATTATCTAGTCCCATAATGTATCTCTGACTCATGGATATATATTGTTTCTCTACTATCTTGCTTCCTTTATTCATACCAGAACTGTCTTTCATAATTATGGTAGGAAACATTTCTTAATGTTCTCCTTTCCTGTTAGTTCCATCTCTGGTAATATCAAACCAATGTGTTTCCATCGAGCAAAAAGAGTTAATTCACAATTTATAAGCTTTCGAGAAAATGGATTTTCAATTAGGACAGGGTAACTTCCTTGATTTGTGTGGGTTAATAACAAAAATATTTCACAAAATATGAAAAATCGTATGTGACATCTAAATGTGGTTCCATTATTGTATTATTTTACATTTTAATTAAAGTGCAAAAGACAGTTCTCTTGTACTTTTGATATACTGTTATAAAAAATGTGAATTCTATTCATATTAAAGAATAGTTTTCTTTAAACCTAGACATTATATCTATGCTCAAAATATTAATATTTGTTATTTTTGTACAGTGTGGTTGTAGAATTGTAATGGTGTGATATTTTTTGCTATTGTCGCTGGGTCAAATTAAACATCATTGTATTTATACAATCATGTTGAATCTGGTCTCATGTTCTTGTGTAGTCTTATGTCTCATACCTGGAAGCCCCCCCCCCCCCATCTATACACCTGGGATGTGGTAGGGAGAGGGATGCAAGGCCTTGAAGCAAAATTAGATATTATTTATTTATTGCCAGATTTAATGTGTGCCTGTTTTTCCACTACACATTCTAAGGATTTTGATCGGAAGGCAAAAATGTATCTTATAGAAAGACTGCATTAAAGCTCTCGCTTAAGTTGAAAACTGTACATTTCCATTTAATGCAATTATACCTAAGCTACACTCTCATTCTGCAGGCAAATTGCAGTTATAAATGAAGATTTTCTGATGTAATATTTCCGCATAGAATAAAATCAGCATTATTTTATTACCGAGAAATTCATTAACATCCTTAATAGACTCGGTTGTTTTATTGATGTCTAAGACATATGATTTATTCAATGCTTGGCAAACATTTTTTTATTAAAACTTCCATTAATTATTTCAGATAAGCACTCGGTGACAAAACTATTTATTAGCATGATTGATTCGATTCTACAGGTCTGCATAAATCAATGGTTTGCCATTACCGCAATCATCAATTTTAATTAATTATCAATCTTAAAGACTTGATTGCTATTGTTGTATTGCTATGGCAACAGCATGACTTTTGGACCAAATAAGCTGTAGTAATCTTAGATATAGGTAGATTTCTGAGAATATTGTATTTAGGTGAATTTATCAATTAGTTTTATCAGTGCAATATGGCTAATGTCTGTTGCAGTATTCAATATGTCATATAAGCATACATTCAACTCATATCTTAGATAGTAGTGAAGTATTTCATTAATATTATGATTATTCCATATGCTTTATATCTTGCCAAGCTTTGTCTACTAATCTCTCAAATTCTCTTTGCAATTGTGTTTTACAAAGTTGCATAGAATTTTTACTTTACAACAGTTATCCATAAAAAATTCCATTTGCTTTTAAGTAAGAATTACAAAAGGTCCATGTATTAATGAAATAGAAAGAAACGGGAAAGAAAAAATAATAAATATACAAAGAGGTAACAACCCTGATGCTTAGAGCCTAATGATTACTACAACACGTGTTGTTGAAGAAGTAAAATCAAACTATGGTAAAAGGTAGTCATTAACCCCCTTGAGTCTGTAGAAATTCT